CAGTTTGATGCTAAGAATTCTCAGAAGGGGATGACTTCCCTCTGAAGTTGCTTGGGGAGGGGAAGTGTCCTCTAAATCTGCCAGTTAGAGGCACACTATTATTCTCTCAAAAGGTAAAGGCCCTAAACAATGGGGAACAGCAAAACATGGGCATCAGTGCATATTTGGCAAGCTGTAGATAAAAAGAAAACAATAATGCTTTCCAAGACATTTAGCAATTACCCAAACTTCTTAATATTAGTGACACAGTGGGGAAACGGGCTTTTATTTCTGTTCAGCTGTAACTCAGGATGTGGGACAGGTTTTTGCAATGTGATCTGATTCCCACTGAAATATCTTGATTGTTCCCCTAGGCCCATGGTTCCCTACCATGGGTGAGAAATGCATTCTTGGAGTGTCAATTCCCAGAAGCCTTCATCACAAGATATGCTAGCTGGTGTCTCTTGGAGTTGCAATCTAAGAACATCTGGGTTACCCGAGGTTGGGAACCACTGCTTTAGACAACAAAATGACAGTGTCCTCATAGAAAGGAATGGCAATGGGTTTAATTTTAACTGAACAGTATGCAAAGGCAGCCTCTTTAACTAGCTGTTAGAGACATTATCTGCATTCTTTGTGCAAACATAAAATCAGGGGTCGATCAAAGCTGTGCCTTTAGATAAAGAGTACTGGGATTCATTTCCTTAAAATGTTTTGGCATTTCCTTGATATAAAGTACATGTCTGGGAAACAAGAGCTGTGAGCACAATGGAAACAATAGCGCCACAAATTCCACTGGGTGTTTTAAAGTAACTTCTATCTGGACCTAATGAGAAATAATCCAGCTTCCTCTGCCATCCCTGGAGCCACCCGACAATTAATTATCTTCTTGGATAGGTTTTCTGAATGTATAGGGAGACCGACAGCGGGAAAGGAAAATTGCTCTTCTCCAATTCCACTGTTGTACCACTGGGCATTGAGTATTGGATCCTGCCCACTGAAGGGTGTTCAGTTAGGCAGCCATGTTAATCTGGTTTTAATCTGTATGGCAAAAATGAAAACATAAGAGTTTGGACACCTTAAAGACCAATGGAATACATGTCACTGCAAGCTTTTGTAGATTTCAGTCCACTCCCTCAGACATATTTGAGGAACAGGCATGTGTTTGAGGAAGTAGTTTATAATCTATGAAAGCTCTCACTGAAAGAAATCCTCTAAGCCTTTATGGTGCCAAAACTTTTTAATGTTTTTAATTTTTGCTATACATGCACATTAAAAGGAAGCAATAAAACAGGTTGAATGGGGAATGGACAGGAATGTTTGCTGAATGGGACTTGCTTGTGAGTCAACATGAGAAGCTCATTGATGAATAATATAGCACTGTACTACTACATGTGGTTCTTCTTCGTGGCCTCAATACATCACTTTCCACTGTTCTCTGCTTCCTCCTACATCTCAAATTCAAGGGCCTCTCTATCTCATCCTTGAGAGTCTATGTTTCCGCAATAATATCATACCAACCTCCAAATTCTCCAGCAGCAAACTTCTTCAAACATCCAACAATGAAACGTTTTCTGAAAGGTCTCTCTCAGATCCATCCCGATACTCGATCTCCCTCTCCACAATGGTCACTGTGAGACAGGAGGCGAGAGGGATACCCCACTTACTGGAGAGCCAGCTCTCCTCCACATCAAAGATAAGGAAACAAGACCCCAGCCAACATTAGCACTCACAAAGACGGAGCAGCAAGGGACAGAAACAGAGGAGCAGGGAAAGGAAATGCAAAGAATAATGTTGGGGAGGGGGGTTCAGGAAGAAAAGGCGGGAAAGGAGAGGAAGAAGAGGGTGGAGTTTGAGGCAGGAATGGCAGAGATAAAAAGGAAGGAAGAGCAATTGCCGTCAGGCTGGGAGTGGGTGTGGATGGAAGATCCTTGGACAGCATTATGGGAGAGATTAAGGGCGCCCAAAGAAGCTGACTATAGAAAGAGAAGAGAATACCCACCCCGACCATCCTATTGGGGAGAAGCCGAGGTGAGAGAGTGGAGGAGGAAACTGAGAGAGAGGAGAGAGAGAGGAAGGGCAGAAAGGAAGGAAAGGCTGGAATGGAGGATAAGAGAGATGAGGAGGAGAAGTTACAGGGAGGGCCCTGGAAGAATCTAAACCCAGAGAGACATTTCCTGTAGAGTGGTGACTGGGACGATGAGACTGTGCCCCTGTTGGAAGGTGAGAGGGGACAGACCGTAACAGGCAGCATCCCTGCAGATTGGCCGGGACCTTGGAATGCCAGTAGCAGAAACCCATTCCTGTTCGAAGATTGGAGGGCCCTTCGAGACCCGTTGGCAGAAGGAGAAAGGCGTCTGAATCACGTTAGAGACACTTGTTATCTGTTAAATTCACCAATAAATATTTCACCTGTTTTGAAGCAAGAAAAATCTACTGATTTCTTTGAACAAAAAATTGAGTCAAAAGTCGAACCTTTACAGTCGCTAACTCTTGTTTTGAAACAGCTTACCAACGCTCCTTTTGAGCCTTTAGCTACAAGTGACTTAAGACTCACCTTTAAAACAGCTTTTCTCATAGCTATCACCTCAGCTCAACGAGCTAGTGAATTAACAGCTTTACGCTATGACTACTCTTGTCTACATTTTTTTTCCAAATAAGGTGAAGTTATTCATGGACATTTCCTTCCCCCCCAAAATTGTCTCTCAATGTAATCTTTCCCAGCTGATTGTCCTTCCTTCATTTTTTTCCATCATCCTCTTCAAATTCCCAGCTGATTGTCCTTCCTTCATTTTTTTTTTCCATCATCCTCTTCAAATTAAGGAAAAAAAATACTCCATACATTGGATGTCAGAAAAGCTCTTGCTTTTTATCTCCAACGTTCCCAACCTTTTAGACAGTCATCTTGTCTCTTCATAAGCCATCAGCTACCTACAAAAGGCCATCAGGTGATTTCCCAATCTATCTCCAGATGGGTCGCCTCTACCATTCATTTGGCTTATCAACTTGCTTGACAACCAGCTCCTAGAGTGGTTCGCCCTCACTCCACCAGGGCAGTGGCAGCCTGTACAGCCTTTCTTCATGGTGTACCTCTTCCGGACATCTGCGCCTCTGCTGCTTGGGCACAGCCATCCACATTTATCCATCATTATAGACTTAACCTCCGGCAGAAGTCTGATGCGGCATTTGGACGTGTTATTCTAGCCTCTACCTTGGCGTGACACCCTGCCTTCGGATAAGACAGCTTATTAGTCACCCAGGGTGTGATTCACAGAGGCCACGAAGAAGGGCGAGAGGTCTGATTCACAGAGGCCACGAAGAAGGGCGACAGGTCACTCACCTGTAATTGTAGTTCGAGTGGACCTCTGTGATTCACACATCCCAACCTGTCCTCCCCTGTCACGACATTGTTTGCTTATTATTAAGTGGCGGTTGACACAACTGAAAGGGGACGCTTGGCACCAAGTTACTTATACGGGTGGGGAGGAGCATATTCTAATGTATTTATTGCTACTGCAGAAGCTCTGGAATCTTCCGAAGAGGCTCCGCGCAGGCACAAATCACCTAGGGTGTGAATCACAGTGGTCCACTTGAAGAACTACAATTACAGGTGGGTAACCTGTCAATCTGCGATACTAATTCCATCTCTACACCATTGAGGAAAACAGCCTCTCAGCATCACAAGAAGCTCTAACATGCAACCAAAGCAGTGACTATACTTTGATGTGATTTGATTCACAACCTGAATTATAGCTGAATTTGCAATCAGTTATCACACAGGGGCTCTGGCCTGATTCAGAAGTTGTGTCCAAACTCAATGCAACACAATTCACATTTCAGCCCACAGCCCCCCCTTTTCTTCCTTCCTCTAGTCCCGCCTCTGCCAGTGCTTTTATGGTTCACTGTCAAGCCACTTAATTTTGAAGGTTTGTACAGTGTTCCAGAAAAGGCAGCAGCATTACAAATTTTTATGTAACATGTACAGAAATACCACATACCATGGGAAATCTTTTTCCATCTGTGTTGTTTCTGTTTTTGTAATATTTTAAAAAATTCTCATCCAGAGATGATCCAGCACTAAACTAGTACAGCAGTACTAGTGATAAGATGATCCAGTGCTAAGGTCGTATATACTTAAAAAAATGGAGGGTGATCAGTGGGGGAACAATCCAGGGGCAAGTGTTTTACCACATTCCAACTGCCTACATCACAAAACACCACCCACAGATATGCCCCCCTCCATCTTTACAAGAATGGATCAGTCGATCACAGAGGAAAAAATCAATTTAAATCATTCCATTCTGAAAAATGGAGAAGCCCTGAGAAGCAAAGAAAAAAGCCACACTGAGAGCAAAAAGGGCTGGGCTGATTCGAATCGGCCTTTGCATCATGTTATTTATTAAAAGCAAATTGAATTCACCTATTTTACGAGCAATACAAATCCCACAGTATTGGACTGTGTAGTCACAACCCAAGCCAAGTCAAAAGAATTCCAAGCATTGTCCCTTTTTCCACACACCCCACAAGCCCCTCCAATGTGAAATAAGGCACGGAAGAAAATATATAAAATCTTTTATTAAAATAATTGTAAACTTTTTATATACACAAAACTATGTACAAGGGAAAACAGCAACTAACTTTACACCATTGTCATTTTATGCTCTGCCAGATTTTTTTAAAACCTTACAGTTCCATGAAGTGCACTTAAATTAAAAAAATCCTAAGTAGCTTCAACAATACCCATTTCAGTTGGTTCTTGCTAATGGCACAATGTAAATGAACTGCAAATCACACCAAGTGAAAGAGAGGAAAACATTCTGTTCACCTGAAAACCTAACATAAGCAACCTGAAATATGCTGCAATGAAACCAATGGAATGTCCTTTAAATCCTGAAAACCTAACATACAGAACTAAAGGTGCATATAGTTTTTCACATTTTTAAGGGGCTAAATATATTTGCAAAACTGGACCCCAGAGCTGAACAGTACACAGGTTTCAGATTTATCAGACACAGCATTCCCAGGGGAATATTTGTTCTAATGTGGAAAACACACAGTTATACTGTCATTTTGCCAATCTGATGGCAGGCAGCAATGACAAATTGAGTGTGATTAAAATATTTGTCCATATGACACAGATACAATGCACGGTTTCATATATTTTGCATATTTAAAGACAGTTGGAATTCTAGTCATGCTAATATATGAACAAGTTGGGGGGGGGAAGCAGCAATGACTTAATTGGCTCAAAAGGTATTCAAACAAACTAAAGAGGACACAATGCTACCACAACTGCCCTCTCCTCTGGATGGTGTAAACTTGGCTTTGACATTTTAGTACAATACCTCGATGACAGTAATAGCAACTCACACACGTGCTGTTTTCACATGTGACACCAGAAGTCAGTCAGGGAAATCCCTTCCACAGATACCCACAATCAACAAAGGGGTTTACATGCCACAAGGTATGGGGGCCACACTTGGAATTCGTAGTGACTCTAACAGAAGGAAATCCCAGCTGTTCTTTGAATCAACTTGCGTCATATCTGCACAAATGAGGAAAAAAATACGCAGATTAACTGGTGATCCAGGTATACTGTCTTAGGATTCATCACAAGATCAAGACAATCTCCACAAATCTAACTATCCATAAAGAAAGAGCTATAAATTACTAATAAAACTATGGCTGTGAATATGGGAAATACATTTATGAATCAGAGATATGTAACTGTCTGATCTATTGCTTAAGGCAACGGTGTCATTGAAATAAATCCACATGGAGCTCCATTAGAAGTGCATGTAGATCTTAGCTACAACATGTCATGTGAGATATAATTACTAATCAGCCAAAATCCTCTTGCACAACTGCACCAGCATAATACAAATGGTATAACTTTTGGATGTGAATGGTCTCAGGTTAGGACATCAAAACAGATATTATCTGTTGTGTGTGAGTCGTACAACTCATTAGGCAACTGATAATGTCTACAGGGATCTCTTAACTTCAGGCCATTTACTTCCAAAAGTTATGCCACTTGCATTACACTGGCATGGCCACTCAAGAGGATTTGAGCCATTATTTGTTTACAGAGAATTACAAAGTACTTGGAGCAAAGCCAGACCATTTTTCTGAAGTAACCATCTACCCTCACCCCTGAATCTCCTAGTCCACAAATGTGGAACTTTCATATCATTCCACCTTGAACATCATTATCCAACTATTACAATTAGCTGCTAGCCATAATGGCTGATGAATTCTGGGTGCTGTGTTCCAAAAACGGAAGGTTTCCATGCCTTAGACAGACCTTTCATATCACCCCCACTTTAAACATGAATAAGCCAACCATAATTTTGTCTTGACAGCTTGGCCTGTTGCTTTCTTTCACCGAGAATGTCAAGAGGATAAAATAGCAAGAGTCTGTGTTGCAAGCTATGTCACCCAAGTATCATAAGAGGGGAGGGAAGAATATAAAATGGGTCACTCTGTCGATGGAGATTCCATATATTTAATGAGAACCTCCACAAGGGCTCAGAGGGTACTTTGTAAGTTGTGTTGATCCAGATACGTTTCCTATCGATGTACTCCCAATCATAAACTGAAGGTGTGAGTACCTGTACTAAGGACGCCATCTGGGTCTTGAAGGATAAGGTCCAAGCTGAGACTCTGCATGCCAGGTTCATTGATTAGGTAGCCCTTCTCACCAAAAGAGGTTGGGTGCCATTCGGAGTTAGATAAGGGCTAAAAAGCAAACATGCAAAAGATGTTAAAATCAGCTCTCCAGAGCTTTATTGAGTTCAGTTGAGCTGCCACTGTAACTAATCCTTCTAATGTTTAAGTTGCAAAATAAGGAATAAATGCATGTTGCTACAAATGTATGTAATCTTTACCAGTTACACAAAGCTCTGTCAGGCAATCACACTTGCATGTGTTCTCAATCTCTGATTCATTGCAACTAGTACTAACTGTAACAACTACCTGTGCAAAGTCCAGATACATGGATAACATAATTTGACACAGTGTCCTATTTTGTTATTCATCTGTAAATCAACCTCATTCCCTACAGCAGAGAAGCAGCAGCTGAACCACTGTTACTCTCTGGGGCATTTGCTCCTGTAACCACTTGCCTGGCCTGATGATCAGAGGCTGCAGGTGAATTCCCTGACACGCCTGTTGAATTTAGAGGCCAGACTCATGAGCTTCTCATATGTCAGAGATCATGGCTTACTGGCAATTTATGTCAAGCTTGGGTAAGGCTGTATCCTTTTGTTTGCATCTGCTGTGTACTGAATTAGGTTATGGGCCCACCAAGTTCAGCATCTCCCATTGGCCAGGAGTGGTGAACCCACAGCCCTTCAGATGTGACTACAACTCCCATCACCCTTGAGCACTAGCCATGCTGCCAGAGAATGATGGCCATTTGAATCCAGCAACATCCAGAGGGCTATAGGTCCCCTCCACTCAGAACTGACACCATCTCTTCAGGCTTCTTTGGGAATGAGCACTGCACATATGAATATCTAAAGTCATGCCCACGATAATTCTGAAAGGAAGAGAAAGCCTTACCACGTTAAACTGTCGGTGAAAGCTATCCTCATCTTCATCTGTTGCTGTGATGATATATGGGAAAAGGAGGGAAAGACGTATTAAAGACAGCTCAGAATTTTTGATAATTTAAAGGTTATTATGTCTATTACCCAAATTTCCACTGCCAACAGTTAACTGCTATACTGTAATTTCTAATGCAATAATACAAAACGAGATAACATATTTGTCATATGTGGTCAAGTATGCTTATTAGCATTTTCAGATTTACAAGATTTTGTTGGATTTGCCATAATAAATATATAAATATTCTTTGGATATAGCATAATTCAACCACCAGTAAGTGGATTTAATCCTATATACTTCAACAGATGAGATCTAGCCATATTAGAACCCCTGGACTCTGGGATCTATATTCTAAAACAAATAAAAACCAAACACTTTAACTTGCACATAAATTGATGAGATTTAAAAGTGCTGGGGACTTGCTGTATTCACACATGACACAATTTAAAATCCAGCTGTACCACTGCAATTATAATGGGACTAAAATGATATAGTCATAAGAAGAACAGGTTGCTCTTGAGGAAGCATAGATAGACTAAGTCTCCATATTTACTTTTATGTTTGAAAGAAAAGCTTAGTTTCATTCTTAATCTGAACCCTTCTTGCTAAACTCTTGGTTTTTCCTCTCAACCTGGTTGTGATCTATCAGCTACACAACAATATTGAATGAGTAAATACCAACCATCCGAAGAGGATGTGATAGGCGACACTTGAAATGGGTACATGTCATTTGTGCTGTCAGGCATCTGCACTTCCAGTTGGTGGCTCCTCCAGTCAGCACTGCCTAAGTCACATGTGGAGAGATCTGCAAAATCCATAGAACGTGTGTCAACATTACTATGGCAGAGGTTTTTCTTCTTCTTAGGATTGCCCCAACACCTTAGCCTCCATTTTGTTTCAAACAATTCACTATTGCAGTAGGTTGTGATAGCCACCAACTGGCAAACTCAGGAGGAAGACTACCACCCTAATGGCACTCATGCCTTGCTTGTGGACTTGCCCAGCGTTTTGTGGCTGGGCATCAGGTTGGCCACAAAACGCTGGGCAAGACAAGCCTTTCACTTGAGCCAGCATGGCTTTTCTTATACAGTGGTGCCTCGCTTAACGAGTGCCCCGCTGAGCGATTAAATCGCTTAACGAGGGGCTCTGGGCCATCGCTGGAGCATTTGCTCAGCGATGGCCCCCATGGCGGTTTTTCGCTTAGCGAATATCGCATAACGAAGCGGGGGAGAACAGCTGATCGGCGGTTCCAAAAGGGCCGCCGGAAGGTCCGCACCGCATTTTCGCGCCCTGCCCTCGCTTACCGAGGGCGCGAAAATGGCGGCGCTATGGAGGAACATCGCTTAACGGTGAGTTTTAAAGCCATAGGAACGCATTGAACAAATGTTTCGCTATAGCGAAGGTTAATCCGGAACGGATTGACCTCGCTATGCGAGGCACCACTGTACTCCTAGACTCCAAAAAAGAGAATGGTTTCTTCCAGTTTTCAGTGGCTCCCCAAAGACTTGTCAGGGGGTTCTCAGTGAGAAGAAGATCATTGATTATAGACTGAATTTCCCATGAAAGATGGGTTGCCCACTCAGCAACTATCCCCTCCTTTGCAATGAGCCATCACAGGGGAACTCTGAATAGGTTCAAGAGCTTCCTCTCTATGAATGTGGAGGCAACACAGACTTAACAGACCTGGCCATCACCACCATGTGAACAGAGGGTTGTGAAAAACTACTAAGGTGACTATAATGGTCTCTCACCTATTGTGCTCCCCACTTCCATTTCCTCTGGTGAGTAGCTGGCAAGTACATAGCCACTGTGGTCATCTGGTAGTTGAATGCTGTTGGTTGCTTCAGCGGTCTCCTCTGTCTTGATATCTTCCGCTGGCTGGAAAAAAAAAACACAACCACAAAACATTTACCTATATACCATAGATAGAGAGGGTGGAAAGACTCACTTAGGCAACCTGGGTTATCACTGTCTTAGCCACAAACAACACTACAGTAGTATATTTTCACACTCAGTTTTAAGCACAAGCCAAAAGCTATTGGTGCTTTGCTTTCACCGCCTCAGTGAAATGATATCTTTTTATTATGTGGAGTTTGTTTGAAATGGAAACGTGAATCTGCCACATGGACAAAGAAGGGCAATGGAGGGAGGCGGAAACTCAGCCAGAGGAGTTTTGATGTTTTTACTACAGGTGATTGGTAAGCATACAAGCAGCCTACCTGTCCTGTTTGGCTTCAACCCAACCTGAATGCCGGCTGACAATGAGAGTGGCAAACCCTGGATTGCATGAACCAGAGGTTTCATTCTGTATAAAGCAACTCCTTACATTACCTTGGGTGGCCTCTGTTGGTATGCTTGGGAACCTATGTTGCTCCTCTGTTTAACTTAAGGAAGCAAGGACTTCTGCCAGCTCCCCTGCCCCTACATCTATGGCTCCCTAAACCGTTCTCTTAGCCATTCAATCCCTAGAACAGATTTTTAGGGTGCTGCAAAGGGAGAGATGGAAATGTCTCATTCCATGCATGGGTGAATACTTTTTCATTCATGGAAAGTAAATCACAATCTTTGAGCCACATGGAAGCTCCATAGCCAGGAATATTAGAAGGAAAACCTACCTTTCTCACACTCTTGCTTTTTGAAGATTTTGACTTCTTTTCTGTTGAAGAAAAACAAAGACATAGATTTAATACAAACAAATGCAGTTCTGAAAAGAACATAAATGTTATTGACGATTCAGATAATGGCCAAAATTGTGCTGCACAGTTATTCATTCATTCATTCATTCATTCATTCATTCATTCATTCATTCATTCATTCATTCATTCATTCAATTTGTATCCTGCTCCCATTAGTATCACAGCAATACTCTGTGCGGGTTTACAACACATATAATAGAAAACAAATATAGAGACATTAAAACAAACAACAATAATTCTAAAAAACCAGGTATCACCGACTAATCCCCAGATCAGATGGAGGAAAAGAAGGGAAGGAAGAAGAGGGAGGAAAGAAAAAGCAGGGGGGGGGAGTTGGTCAGCTGGGGTCAGTGTGAAAAGCAGTTATGTTAGTGCAAGGTCGCAGGAGCAAATTGCTGATAATTAATTAGTCACCTCTTGGGTTTCTGGTGGCAAGGCAAGCCACCTGACTGGTGCACAACAAGGAATCCAACTGGCACCTTATTAATTTCTAACAATTTGGCACTGAACATTATGCCAAAGCCCTTTCTTCACCATAACTCTGCTACAGGATTTTGGCCAATACAGATTCAATATAGATTCAGACATAATCAAAATTAGTTTGACACAGTTTCCCTCTTATACTGTAACTCCCAAAACCTTCCAACTTGGAATACTGATGATAAAGCTATCCTCCTTTTTTGGAAAACTTTCCCATTTCAGTCAAATGCCACAGACTACAAGAACAGCCATGAAGTAGTGAAGTGAAATACATCCTCATGGAGGGCAATGGATGCATATGGGAAGCCTATAAGGAAGACAGGAGTTTCATAGTCTCCTCCCACCACTGTTCCCCATGAACTAGTAGTATTCAGAGTTAGGCTGTCCGGTGAGCATAACTAGAAATGCTGATGGCTTTGTGATCCATGAATTTGTTTAATCCCATTTTAAACTATGCTGCTGCTATATTTGCTGCACAGGTTAAAGGTTAGTGCTCACCACCAGAAATTTTGCAGGAAATCTTTACCATGACCACCATGGGGCACTTTGATCATCTGTGGGGTCTCCTGCCCCAAGCCATCTAAACCATGAGATAGCAGAAGATGGCTGCCTTTCAGGTAATGATGGGATAAATTTTCAAAATTAAATATCTGTATCAAGGACAGAGCAATACAAATTCAATACCTTTTCGCTGTGATTTTGTTGAGGGTTCCAGCATTCTATAGACCCGAACGGCACTACAGCCTTTGCTAATGCTTTTGTCTTTCACCTCTTCAATATCAGGCAATGAATTCATGGCACAGCGAAAATTTGCTTTCCAAGTTTTTGGATCAGGCTGTACATCACCTTCTTTGTATCTGCCTGCAAAACAACAGATAATATCTAGTTGAGTAAAAAGTAGCTGACAACATGAATGACCGAGAACTAGCCACTAATATCCCCAAATCCAGCCATATCATGTTCTGCACATCATTGGAAAAGAGCCCAAGCTAACATTTCTGGGATTTAATGCTGGTTCTTCTTAGCCTTTGTGTCCCTAAACAATGCAAAAAAACTGTTTTAGATCCAGAGTTTATTCTGATTGCTACCTTTCATTACTGCTTTTGAGTATTAGTTTTATTGACAAAGTTGACTCATTGATTCCAGTGAGTCTCACTTTAAGTACAATTAAGTCTAGATCCAATCTACAAGTACTGATGATGCTTCCACCTGTTTGTGACTTGGAAACTGTCCTCAGATATTCTGATGTATCTGCTCTGATCAGTACAAGGAGCTGGGTATAATATCAAGGCACAACCCAGGCAAAATTCCTTGGCACCAATAATAGTGGAAGAGATCTGTGGATGGTGGTCGTATTTAACAGAGGGAGGGAGGGAGGGAGGGATGGATGGGGAGAGACAGAGGGTGGGAGTATAGTGCTGTGACTGGCATGTCTGTACGTACAAAATACAGGTGCAAGTTTACAATACAATTTCACACAGACCAGTCATTTTACAAATTACCGTATTTAGAGGTACACTGAAACATAAGTGTAGAAATAGAAATGAACTGTGTAATGAGAGAACAGGACTGGTTGGGTGCATCATACAAATACATTCAACAGAGAGCCAGGATTGCAGCTCCCTGACAGATGTGTGTATTTGCTGTTAAATCCAGATCCCAACCCCAATATTTTAAGTAGAATGGTACTGCAGGGACATAGTTAATTGTGGAAATTACTGTCAGAACCAGCTCTCTCTAGCCCTTTATAAAACACCACTCTGAGATCCTCAGGGAAAGAATGGCATACAAATGGGATGGAATGGAATGAATGAATAAATCAAATCAAACTAAATAGGAGACAATATCAGGGACACAGAGAGAGATGCATTTATTTTGCAGCCAGGGTTTCTTACAGGAGGACTGACTGCTATTTTCTGTGGCCAGAAAGTGATCTGGAAAGTGTCCATGAGACTAAGGGAGGAAACTAAGGGAGAAGAAGGAGGCTTGAAGAAGCTGCCCCTTTTGCTTGTGCCACTGTGTGGATTCTCCGCAAAAAGAAGATCGCCTCAAGGGTAGGCACTTGAGAGATGCCCCTGGCAAGATTCTGCCCTGAGCAGAGTATAGAAACTGACACATACCGGTATGAATGGCCCAGTTTTTGAAAAGAGAGGCATCTTTTTCTAGTACCCAACCATGCTTAGCTGCATGTTTCCAAGGAATCTGGAACAACTTCTCCTCCTATAATTCAATAAAACAATTCTAAGTGGGTGTCACATACGAAAAACAAAGTCAAGGACAATCTAGGAAGCCACAGAAACTTAGGAATGAAGCAAGTTTGCAGTCCACACCATATCTCCATATATATTATCCATGCAATTTTTCTAATACAGTACACTAACTTGGAGGATGATATGATACAATATTATAATAGCAGAATAAAGATGTCCACTGTCAGCCCTTCTTGGCTGGGTATACAGTCATAATCTAGGGATGGTATTAACCAAAGTAAACCCTGTCCATTCAGATTGATGACCTTACCACATGTTTACCATTATAGGCAAGCAGTATCAGTAAGCCAAACCACAACTATAAGGAATCTAAGTCCATATGAGGTAAACAATATGCTCAATGAATGAAAAACAAAGTCAAGGACAATCCAGGAAGTCACAGAATTGTAGGAAAGCAGCAAATAGTGTTGCCTGCATGGTATTCCCATATGCATTATCTCTGCAGTTTTTAGCAAGACAAATTAGATTCGTATGTTTAGCTCCTGTTGGCATTTTAGCCTTGATCATATTAAACAATAAAGAGGGTGGCTTGAAGTCCTTGGACAATTTCATTGCTCCAAGCGAGGAATTCTCAGTAAAATGTGCCTCCTACGTCTGCCATACAGTGGTCCGACTCTGATGTAGTTTGATATTTAAAGCAGGTTCCCTCCTTTGTATCTTGGGAGAAGGAGATCTGTGTTTTGAATTTTAAACAGCAAAATTAAAAAGAAGAAAAGAAAAGTGAGAAGGAATTTTATACCTTATTAATCCAGTGCAGTCCAGGAATTTTATTGGAATTGATCTGTAACTCCAGCCATGGCCTCATGCGCATTCTTGTTTGTGGCATTGTGGTTCTGAAAAGAGAAGAATTGGCACATATAGCAGTAGTGTCATGGGAAGGACAACAAAGCTTTCGGTTTGGGTTTGGATTCACCCAAATTGTACTGGAGCGTGCTTGGCATCCAGTTTTGATTGCCTATTTTGAATTAAACTGGGTTAACAAGTGTGACTTGCTATTTAGGGAGCCAAATCCTATATGCTTACCTGCTAACTGAATGGAAGGGGGCTTATTTCTTGAGTAGGTGTGTAGAATTGCACTGTTCACCACCCGTTTTCAAATTTATCTGCCACCTCACCTTGTGTGCTACAGAAATCCTAGATATCAGCCACAGAATGTGGGCATGGCTGATGATGGTAAGACACATTCTAGGTTACATATTGTGGGCACTTGGGCATGGCCAAGCCTATTAGGCTCAATATTATCTCAGCCAAACTCACGAGGATGATAGTAGTCTTCCTGCAGGGGCCAGCACATGGGCCAGAGACTCTCTCTCTCTCTCTCTCTCTCTCTCTCTCTCTCTCTGTCACTTTTCTGTATTACAGTCCCCATGAGCCACAAACCATGATGGTTATGCTCTTAGGACTCTGGGAGCTATAATCCAAAAAAAATTAAAAAAAATAAAAGGAACTTTCCCAACTTCTGATGTGAATAGACTGGTAGTTGTGAGCTGCCTCTGAGAAAGGCAGCTATTTTAGGATAACCTAAAATACCTAAATAACAAGTTAATCTAACATTAAGTCCTAGGTTTGTATGTCCTCAACATCCTACTTGTCATACCACTCAAAACATAAATTCCAGACAGAAGGCCTTGATTGTTGGAGTAACCAGGCTGGATAAGGATGTTATGCTCCAGGCTAATTAGCAAAATATAAAATATCCTCCCCCTCCATATACAAATTTGTTTTAATCATTTTGATCACTGACCTCTCTACACACACACCCTGGGAGTGTCATAGGGTCATCAGATCTCAATTTCTCCCTCCCTCTACCTCTATTCTGCCTGGGGTGTCTTGCACAAAGGAGATACACACAACTTTTCTGGCATCTCAGGCAAACCTTCCCCTTTGCCTCAGAACGTAACACTGCTGGACTGAATTGGCCAGGAAGGGCTCTGTGTGAGCATGAGGCATGTGCAGATTCTCTTCCATTCCTCAAACTGCTTTCAGATGCTAATCGTACATGTTGGATACATGTTGTGTTTGTGCACCTAAAACACGTCTCTTGTCAAGCCCCATGGAAGTCTGTCCACACACTGGTGGGGGAATCTTAAAATATCCGTGTTTTCAGCATCCATTGTTCACTAAAGATTACCTGTTCAAGAACGGCTCCACAAACATGCCTCTTGTCCTGTTTTGGCCTTTCAACCTAAAATATCCCCCCCATCTGTCCAAACCCCAGAGATGCAAAAACCCATTTCCTTGAGGCACAGCCTCATCTGTGGAGGAGCTCAACCATCAGCTCTGCTGGCTGAGGTTTCTGGGAATTGCAGTTCAAAAACACCTGAGTAACAAAGGTTAAGAACCACTGTTCTAGACAATAGCAAGGGTGTTCATACAAGTGTGTTCATGCCAGGTAAAGGCAGACTAGGTGGAGGCCCAGCAGACATTGTTTGAGGAGAACTCAAATAAGCCCCTCAACAGCATTGCCCGCTGTAGAGAATGCTGGGAACTTTAGTCTCAGGATATCTGGTGGGCCACATCCAATTTATGAATTGGCTAGTCTTATTAGCAACAGTTCTGACTTTCTGCCCTGCTCCCATGTTCTGCCTGTGTTGACGGAATAAGAATAGCTATTCAATAAAGAACCAAATTACCACAAAGGAATTATTCTCTCATTCTTTCATTCTTTCTCAAAATAGAAATGAGGCCTGCAGAACTGGGCTCAGACCCATCATAGAAAGTGCTACCCATCATCAATTTCTAGGTGTTGCCGATACAAAAAGCTAAGCTTTTTATGGCATTTTAAAAGGCTGCAAAAGCAAAGACTAGAGCCACTTCATTCAGAGGCGTTGTGTCCTCTGATGCCACAGGCAGACGACTGAAAACATGACCATGTATGAAGCACTCTAGCAATCACATACTGTGGGAGAAGGCTGATTAGTGGTGGGCAAGCTAACCTGCAGGGAGATTTATTCTACTAGTTTACCAATTTACATATTATTATTTTTTCACTTTTCTGAAAAAGGCCTCCATATTACTAATTCACCTTTACTTCTCATTTCCCCGAAGGACCCCGGATGAATTTTCAAAGAATCGTAATCTTCCAGTTGCAGCCAGTGGACCAACCCTACTGGCACAATCAAGAACAAACAAGCTCTGGTTGGTGTGTGGTGGGTGCCATCTGCTATGCCATTGAGCAAATACAAAGCATGCATCAGAGCTGTAGCGTTGTATCCACATTATGTGGAATGCACAACTGTATTTTCAATGTGATCTTTGGCATCCAAGCTGCTGTTGAAAGGTAGCAATCACCTTACTGTAACCCTGAAAAACAGCTGAAAAAGCAAGACACATTTGGCAACCAGGGAAGAGTATACAACAAAAAGTGGATGCACTAGAAATAAGAAAATGAACTCCATGTAGTAAAGTGTTTGTGTGCATGTGTTAAGGCGTAAGGACCAGTAAAGTATTCTGCATGCTAACAACCCAGTCCTCAACCAGCTTCAAAGAGTGTCCTATCCTATTCAATGCAACGGAATTTAAGTCCACATTAGAGCATATGGGGACAAAAGAAATCCACAATCAACAGCAACACACTGATGTCAATAGGATGAAAGGGCATCGGTGATCAGTGGGTTTGCCTACTGGGGAGAAGGAAAGGCTCCTCTGCACAGTACTCTTCCCCTTCTGTGGCCTAAATATTTAGGCAGGAAAAGACATCTCAGTGTCTGAAGTCTGGCAAGGTCTGTGCATTTGTATTCCATTGTGGAACTGTTCCACTGTGTTATGGTCCGTATTTGCTGTAGTGAAAATGCTTTTTGCACAGCAGATCGTCTACCTACGTAACAGCAGACGGCCAAACATTCTGCCAGTTTTGTTATCTTAGGGGCACAAGTGGCTAGTTATGCACATGGCGCCCTGTTCTTAAGCCTCCTGCATGAAGATCAGTTAAGAGAGAAGTCCGAAAAGTCAACCCTTGGTTTTAACAGGAATTTTCTCTGGGATGACCTTGATCAATCCGAAGTGAACTTTCCTGTGTGAGCACAGGATGGCATGTGGCACAACAGAACACAGTCTGGTGTGTTATTTCTTCAATTCAGGGAGAATGTTTATAAAGCAGCATGAGATACAGTGGGAATGTTGTCATTTCGCACAAGACAACACAAGATGTGCTGGTTTCCGGCCTGCATGTCTTTCAACTGGGGCTAGACAGTTTCAGAGATCAGCAAGGCTAAGGGGAAAAACAGATTCCATAATAATGTAAAGTTACCAATAAGGATCCAGATTTGACTGTTGTAATGCTTAAACAAAAATGAACAAATAGACAAAAATGAAATAAAAAATGTTTAAGTGTTCCCTAGAGATGCTTTGCTGGGCCAGTTGATCTCGTAACAGGAAGAAGCTTCTGCCTTCAGATGATATTTGGAATTGCATCCACACCAACAGCAAGGTAAAGGGTCCAAAATTTGACCTCTGGGCGGCAGAGTTAAGTGCCAATTCAATGCTACTTATATACAGGCGCTACACTTCTCCAGTGGCAATTTGCGCTCTCTGGGCTTCCTAATGGCTTGCTATCAAACTGACTACCATGCATCCTGCTGCTCCTCCAAAGATTTCTGGGCAACTGCAAAACATGTTCCATAGAATAAAATAAAGAGCCTCTTCTTGCATAGCTAAAAATCCTGTATAAACCAGGGGTGGTGGGGATGCAATAATGATTTTGTTTCTCCCTTGTCCAACACTGGGTGTACAGTAACGGGGAGAAAGCCTCAAACATCTTTTTTTTAAAAAAAATGAGGAGGGGGGAAGCCAGTTATTTAAGTATCTGATAAAGCATCGGTTCACGCACATTCACACAACCCCACACCACCGGTGGCTCCAAGATGGGGATGCCCTTGGGTCCCATCGCCACCTCAGTGGTCCTCAAAGACCTGCAAACTTTTCCGACAGTCTCCACGAGGCTCCATCGTCTAGTCCTCCTCCCGCCGACTTCTTTCCCTGCCGATTTTTTTTCCCCCACGCAGATCAAGGGCGCCAAAGCAACCAGGCTGGCTGCCTCGCTTCCTTTACCACCACCTCCTGCCGAGTCTCTCGTTTTTTGTTTTTTTTTTACAAAGTTTACTTCCTGGTCCCACAACAACAAAAGAAGCAACATCCCCCTATCAGGCATGTTGTTAATTTTCCCTTTGCCAAAGCACTGGGGGAACAAAACAACGGGGCTAATCAAGCAATTACCGTTGCAGTTTAGAACACCAGGAGCCATTCGCGTCTGTGTGGTCTCGCTAATCAAGCTATTGTTGTTGCACTTTAAAAATAGCACGTCCAACTCCTCGCCCGCAAGATGCGAGAGAACCAGCCCGGCCAAGCAGGAGCCACGCCCACCCTTGACCGTGTCTTGTGCGCGTCGAAACCGGCCGGGCGCCCTGCAAACCCTGCACCGCGCATTGGACGCGCTCCCTGTTCCTTCCTTGCACGCTCGATCTTGCGCTTGGACTCACTTTATTGTAAACTACGCTCCTTCTCCTGCCCTGGAAGAACGGACGGCTTCGTGCCTGTTCGGAAGCGGGCTTTGGTCACCCACGCATCCAACCCTACATTTTTACGCTACAACAAATCCGGGCAACTTGCATTGCAATCTGGAGCCGAGGAAGGAAGGAAGGAAGGAAAGAACTTTTAAAGTTCCACAAGACGCTCGATTGACTTGGACCACCTCAGGCAATACAAGAAAGTCGCCACAGGCTTGAGTCTACCGGAGCTCAGCAGGGCGGCTGAGGACAGGGCATTTCGGAGATCGCTCATTCATAGGGGCACCGTAAATCGGAAGCGACCTGACGCCGCCTTAACAAGAACAGACCAGGGACTAGCGTCTCTATGCCCTCTGGCAGGAGTGCCGTTGTTATTCGGGTAGCCCCTACTTCCAAATTTTCCCCAGCCAGTCAGCTTCATGCGAAAGAAACACCGTTTGGCGGATCACCACCGATCTTTTTTTTTTAAAAATAAAGTTACTTGGCGCCAGGGCTGGCTGCAGCCTGTTGCCTTTGATCTCCAGGACCAGCCAGGAGGTGAGCGCGTCCCGTAGCGGGAGAAGCCGCTTGGCAGAGAGGC